CATTGCCTACATTTGATTGATGGCTGTGTTTGCCTAAAGGATGGAGGCAGGCAGAAGGAGAGTCAGAGAGTGGGGCTTGAATCCTGACTTCTCAAAGTGTGTCTTTGAGTACAGGATTGTTATTCTCTGAGCCTCAGTTTCTTCATCTATAAAATGGGGATAATAATAATATGTCTCTCCAACCAGGTGTTACAGAGCCTGGATTCTATAAGAAGGCAAATCCACAGCAAAATGTTACTTTTCTTCCCTAACCCCCTCTCTCTCCTTCTCTCCCTCCCTCTCTCCTTTCCATCCACCATATCGGGTAGGGGTTTTAAAACTAAACTTTTTGTCTTGAGATAATTGTTGATTCATATGCAGTTGTACGAAATAATACAGAGAAATCCTGTGTACCCTTTACCCATATTCCTGCAGTAGTAATATCTCCTAAAACTGTAGTACAATGTCACAAACAGGATATTGACACTGGCACAATTTACAGATCTTGCTAATATTTCCGCACTTTTATTTGCACTTATGTATGTGTGTATGTATTTAGTTCGGTACAGTTTTAACACATGTGTAGGTTAAGGTATTCACCACCACAGTCAAGATAGATCAGTTACCACAAGGATCTCTTATGTTGCCCTTTAATAACCATACCCACCTCCCTCCCATCCCCCAGACCCCAGTTTACAACTCCTGGCAACCACGAATCCATTCTTGATTTCTAACCCCTCCATCCCAAATCTTACATAAATGGAATCATACAGTATGCAACCTTTTGGGATTGGCTTTTTAAAAATTCAGCATAATTCCCTGGAGATTCATCCAGATTGTCTATCAATAATTCATTCCTTTTTTAAAAGTTTTATTTATTTAAGTAATCTCTACACCCCATCTGGGGCTCAAACTCACGACCCCCTCCTCCAAGTGAGCCAGCCACGTGCTCCTACAATTCATTCCTTCTTATTGATAAGTGGTATTCCATGCTGTGGATGTACCAGAGTTTATTCATCTATTGAAGGACATCAGGGTTGTTTCCAGTTTTGTGCTATTACTAAAAAAGCTGTCATGAACATTCATGTGTAGGTTTTCATATGGTTTCACATATGTGTGAGTGTAAATTTTCCTTTCTCTGGGATAATTACCCAAGAGTACAATTGCTGGGTCATATGATAATTGTATGCTTCATTTTTTAACAAACTGACGAATTGTTTTCCAGGATGGCTGTATCATTTTACAGTCCCACCAGCAATGTATGAGTGTTCCAGTTTCTCTGCATCCTTGCCAGCCTTTGGTGTTGTTACTATTTTTTGTTTTTGTTATTCTATAAGTTCCATTGTGGTTTTAATTTGCATTTTCCTAATGGCTAATGATGTTGAACATCTTTTCATGTGCTTATTTGCCACCTGTTTATTGTCTCCTGTGAAATGTCTCTTTGTATCTTTTACCCATTTTCTAATAGGATTGTTTGCTTTTTTTTAAATTTTTTAAAAAAGATTTTATTTATTTATTTGACAGAGAGAGACACAGTGAGAGAGGGAACACAAGCAGGGGGAGTGGGAGAGGGAGAAGCAGGCTTCTCGTGGAGCAGGGAGCCCGATGCAGGGCTCCATCCCAGGACCCTGGGATCATGACCTGAGCCGAAGGCAGACTCTTAACGACTGAGCCACCCAGGTGCCCCAGATTGCTTTTTTTTACCGAGGTTTTTTTTGAGCTCTCTTTTTAAAAATAACTGCTTTATTGAGATATAATTCACATATTATAAAATTCACTCTCTTGAAGGGTACAATCGAGTGGTTTTTAGTATATTAACAAAGTGTACATTGATCATCACTCTCTAATTTCAGAACAGTTCATCAACTCAGAATGAAACCCCGTGCCCATTCATAGTCACTTTCTATTCCCTTTTCCCCAGTCCCTGGCAAACACGAATCTATTTGCTGTCTCTGTAGATTTGCTTGTTCTGGATATCCTTTCATATGAGTAGAATTATACCATATATGACTTTGGGTGTCTGACTTCTTTCATTTATCATAATGTTTTCAAGTTTCATTCATGTTGTAGCCTGCTTCAGAATTTCATCCTTTTCTATGGGTGAATAATATTCCATTATGTGGATCTATCACATTTTGTTTACCCATTCAACAGTGGGCAGACATTTGTGTTGTTTCCATTTTTGGGCTATGATGACTAATGCTGCCATGAATATCTGTGTGCACATTCTTGTGTCAACATGTTTTCAATTCTCTTATATATATACGTAGGAATGGAATTGCTGGGTCTTATGGAAACTCCATGTTTGGAGGAAATGCCAAACTGTTTCCCAGAGTGGATGCACCATTTTATATTCCCACTAGCAACGTCTGAGGGCTCAATACCTCCACATCCTTGCTAACATTTGTTATTCCATCTTTTTGATTATAGCCAGCTTAGAGGACATGAAGTAGTATCTCATTGCAGTTTTGATTTCCATTTCTCCAATGACTAATAATGTCACATAATGAACATCTTTTATGTGCTAATTGGCAATCTGTATATATTCTTTGGAGAAATGTCTATTCTAAATCTTGCCCATTTTTAAACTGGGTTATTTGTCTTTTTTGTTGTTGTTGAGTTGTAAGAATTCTTTTTTTTTTTTTTAAAGATTTTTTATTTATTTATTTGAAAGAGAGAGAACGAGAGAGAGCAAGCACATGAGAGGGGGGAGGGTCAGAGGGAGAAGCAGACTCCCCGCCGAGCAGGCAGCCCGATGCGGGACTCGATCCTGGGACTCCAGGATCATGACCTGAGCCGAAGGCAGCCGCTCAACCAACTGAGCCACCCAGGCGCCCGAGTTGTAAGAGTTCTTTATGTATTCTGACCACAAGTCTCTTGTTGGAGATATGATTTGCAAATATTTTCTCCCATTCCATGGATTGTATTTTTACTTTCTTGATAGTGCCTTCTGGTACACAAAAGTTTTTAATTTTGATGAAATCCAAATTACCTATTTTTTCTTTGGTTGTTTGTGCTTTTGGTGTCACATCTAAGAAACCACTGCCTAATCCAAGGACATGAGGATTTACTCCTCCGTTTTCTTCCAAGACTGTTATGGATTTAGCTCTTACATTTAGGTCACTGATCAATTTTGAGTTAATTTTCATATAATGTGTGATAGGGGCCCGACTTCATTCTTTTGTATGTGGATACCCAGTTGTCCCAGCACCACTTTCTGAAAAGGCCATTCTTTCTCTATTGAATTGTCTTGGCATCATTCTTGAAAATAAATTGACCGTGAATGTAAGGGTTTATTTTTGGATTTTGAATTCTAGTTCATCGATCTATACTTCTATCCTTATGCCAGTACCATGATGTCCTGATTACTGTAGCTATATAGTATTTTTTGAAATTGGGAAGTGTGAGTCCTTCCATCTTGTTCTTCTTCTCCAAGATGATTTTGTCTATTCTATTGTTTTTGTCTCTTCTTGCATTTCCGTATGTCTTCTAAGGGTCAGCTTGTCAATTTCTGCAAAAAAGACAACTGAAATTTTTGGTAGGGATCCTATCGATCAATTTGAAGAGTACTGCCATCTTAATATTAAGTCTTACAATACATGAACATCAGCTATCTTTCTATTTATTTAGGTCTTTAACGTTTTTCAATGATATTCTTATAGTTTTCATTGTCTGGGTCTTGCACTTCTTTTGCTAGATTTATTCCTAAGTATTTTATTCTTTTCGATGTTATCATAAATGGAATTGTTTTCTTAATTTCATTTCTGGATTGTTCATTGCAAGTGTATAGAAATACAATCTATTTTTGTATATTGATCTTGTATCCTATAAGATTACTGAACTCATTACTTTTTCGAACAAATTTTTAGTGGACTCTTCAGGATTTTCTACATGTAAGATCATGTTATCTGTAAATAGAGATAATTTTTTTTAAAGATTTTATTTATTTATTTGACAGAGAGATAGAGAGCCCAAGTAGGCAGAGAGAGAGGGAGAAGCAGACTCTCCACTGAGCAGGGAGCCTGACGTGGGGCTCGATCCCAGGACCCCGACGCGGGGCTCGATCCCAGGACCCCGGGATCATGACCTGAGCCAAAGGCAGCCGCTTAACTGACTGAGCCACCCAGACGCCCCTAAATAGAGATAATTTTACTTCTTGTTTTCCAATCTGGAAAATATGCCTTTTATTTCTGTCTGCCTTTTATTTCTTTTTCTTATTTAATGATCCTGGCTAGAACCTCTAGTACAATGCTGAAGAGAAACGGCAAGAGCAGGCATCCTTGTCTTGTTCCTGAGCTTAGGAGGAAGACATCCAGTTTGTCACCATTGATTATGATGTGAGCTGTTTTTTTTTTTTTTCCTTATAGATGGCCATTATCAGATTGAGAATTTCAGTTATATTTCTTGTTTGTTAAGTATATTTTATTTTATTTTTTAATTAAGTATATTTTTAGTTTGTTAATAAAAGGGTACTGGATTTTTCAAATGTTTTTTATGCCTCTGTTGAGATGATCATATGGTTTTCGTCTTTGTCTTTTATTCTATTAATGTGGTATCGCATTGACCGATTTTTGTATGTTCAGTCAACCTTGCACTCTGGGATAAATGCCAGTTGGTCACATGTTGCTGAATTTGGATTGCTAAATTTTTATTTTGTTGAGAATTTTGCTGTCTTACTCTTGAATTTTGAGAGTTCTTTTTATATTGTAGGTACTGGCCCTTTCAGGTAGGGTCAGGTCACAAACTAAATTGAATCAACTCTGGCTAACTCAAGCAAAACCAGGAATTTTATGGTGCAGCTGAAGTCAATAGGTTCAGCCCTGAGGATAGAGTCCAGTTATCAGGAATCAAAGACCAGTTGGATCATGGGGCCTCTGTCCTTTCTGTCCTTGCATCACCCATTTGAGACTCAGAGTCCTGGAAATGAGCATGACTGACGTGGCTGGGGTCACATGGCCAGGAAAGGTGGGATACCTTGAATGACGGTCCCAGAAATGCTGCATGCAATGAGGGCTGTGTGTTTCCCAAGGCAGTATTCAGTTGCTGCTGTCAGAAGAAGAAATGAATACCTGGCTGGATCTGCCCAGTAGAAAGACTCTGCGATGCTGAGGCGCACATCTTGAAAGAGTTCAACCTTTCATAATAGTTGAGATTATGGTCTTTGAAATCACTGAACTAAGTCTGAGTCCTGGTGCTACCATTTTTGTTTGCAAGATCCCAGGTGAGTAACTGGGTCTCTCTGTGCCTTAGTTTGCTCAACTGTACGATTTATAGAGGCCTTGTCATAGGGTTGTTGTGAAGATCAAATGAGCGAATGGATGTAACGTGTTTAGCAGAGAGTGTGGGACAAATTGAAGTGCCAAATAAATGGCAGGTGTTATTAACAAATTTAAAACACTTCTACAGTATAGTAGCTAACTAGAGACTGGAGGAGAGGTGCCCACACCATGCCCTAAGAAAACAGAGGAGGTGGTATCAGGGAGGGCTGCCTGGATGTGGTGGGCTTTGAAGTCTTGATGGACTTGGAGGAGCAGCTATAGCTTTCTCCTGGAAATAGAGGTAGTGGTTTTAGCCAAAAACACGTGGGGAAGAGTTCTAGATGATATCAAGAGGCCAGTACCTCTGTCTTCCTCTTCCCCCACCCTCACATGAATCCCATGGGACTGAGGCATGGCCTCTAATTGGGTTGACTGAACCTTTCACCCAAGATTAGGCTGGCCCCCCCAGGCAATTCCCTACTAGAACTCAGTCTTTTCATTTAATAAAGGTAGACCCAAGCCCTACAGAGGGTCTAGGGAACCTAGTATCCATCTGAGTGGAAATTGATTTCTTTTTCATATAACATTAGTGGGACAGTGAAGTTTATCTTTTTTTCATCAAACATCTAATGCCTTCCTATTATAAAATTAATATTTCTTAATAGGAAATGTAGAATATATAGAAAACATGAAGAAAAGAATACAAGTTACCCGTGTATCTGCATGGTGGTTAACATGTGAGGGAATACACTATATATCTCATAAACATTTCTGTGTGTGTGCATGTGTGTGTGTGTGTGTGTGTGTGAGAAAAATCAGGATCCTACTGCATATACTATTCTGTACCTGCTTTTTTTCACTTAATAACTCTCATGTCACACCCTAAGTCATTCTTTTTTTTTTTTTTTAAAAGATTTTATTTGACAGAGAGAGAGAGACAGCGAGAGAGGGAACACAAGCAGGGGGAGTGGGAGAGTGAGAAGTAGGCTTCCTGCAGAGTAGGGAGCCCGGTGTGGGGCTCGATCCCAGGACCCTGGGATCATGACCTGAGCTGAAGGCAGACGCTTAACAACTGAGCCACCCAGGTGCCCCTAAGTCATTCTTTATGAACATGATTTTTTATTAATTTTTTAAGATTTTATTTACTTATTTGACACAGAGAGAGAGAGAGAGCGCTCATGAGCAGAGGGTGGGACAGAGGGAGAGGGAGAAGCAGACTCTCCGCTGAGCAGGGAGGCTGACACGGGGCTCGATTCCAGGACCCTGAGATCATGACCTGAGCTGAAGGCAGACACTTAATCAACTGAGCCAGCCAGGTGTCTCTATGAACATGATTTTTAATGGTTCAAAATAGTCTACTATATGGATATATCATAATTTATTTAAACCAAACTTCTATTATTAGATGTTTCTAATTTTTCACTATTACAAATAACATTATAATAAATATTTTGGAGCATGAATTTTAGCACCACTTTCTGGTTAATTCCATAGAATAAATTTCCTTAAATGCAAATGGGCATTTTTTAAATGAAACATTTGTAAGTATTTCATTTTGAAAAGTTACATGCACATGATAAAAAATATCCAAATGGCTCAAAAGAGTATTCATTAAAAAGTAAGTCTTGTTTTCATCTTTTGCTCCTGGTCTCTATATTCCCTTCTCAGAGAAAATCCACATAACCAGATTCTTATGCAAATAGCTCCACAAGAATAGGATATGGACAGGAAAGGCATATTTGTATATCTCCATTTCCTTCCTACCCTCTATACATCTTTGTTTTTTTTTTTTTTTTCACTTAACAATATATCTTGGAGATCATTCCTTATCACTGCATGATCTACAGCCATCCCATATTTCTTCACTGCTGCCCACCATGTCTTTTCATGGATGTACCATAATCTATTTAAAAAGTTTGTAGTAGTGGACAGCTAGCTTATTCACAAACTTTTACTATAAACAGAATGCTTTCATGAATAACCTTGTTCATGTATCTTTGTGCCCACATATCTGAGAATATCTGTGGAATATATACCCACAGTGGACTTACATATTTAAAATCTGAATACATACTTCCAAAATGCCTTCCAAGGGTAAACCCCATGCACCTGTTTCCAACAACACTGTCTGCGTCTGTTTCCTCCAACTCTTATCGACAGCACGTCATTAAACATTTTGATCTTTGCCCATCTGATAGATAGAAAGAGGTTTAAAATTGGGTTTTTATTTCTGAATGAGGTTGACCATTCTTCCATGTGTTTAAAAGCCATTTGTATTTCTTTTTCTGGGAACTCTGTATTCTTATTCTTTTTTAAACCCAGTGTTCTGTTCCACCCCCCCCTTCATTGATTTGTGAGGACCTCTTTCTGTAATAGAGAAATTAGTTCTCTATTTTATGTTGCTTATATTTTCCTCTGAGTTCATCATTCTTCTTTTTTTCTTACTGTCATGTGGAGAGTTAAAAATGTTTTAAAAAGATTTTATTTATTTATTTGACAGAGAAAGACACAGCGAGAGAGGAAACACAAGCAGGGGGAGTGGGAGAGGGAGAAGCAGGCTTCCTGCTGAACAGGGAGCCCGATGCGGAGCTCGATACCAGGATCCTGGGATCATGACCTGAGCGGAAGGCAGATGCTTAACGACTGAGCCACCCAGGTGCCCCGGGAGTTAAAATTTTAAACATGTAGTTGAATCTCTCGATCTTTTCTTTTATTCAATGGCGCCTAGGTTTTGTGTCCAGAAGGCGACCCAAAAAGCCTTTCCCATTCTGAAGTTCCAAAAATTATCCCGTATTTTTTTTCTAGTATTATTCTGATTTCATTTTTTATGGTTCAGAGTTTTGATACACACAGAATTTATTTTGGAATGAAGAGTGAGGAAGGCATCCAACTTGCTATTTTTTCCAGAAGCCCAGCCAGTTTTTTACAATTGAGTAATCCAAGAATGGATTATTTCTAAAGATGGCTTGAGTCTATTTAGTAATCCCAGTGGCCACAGGAAACCAACATAAGGTCATTCAGGGCCAGACAGTGAAACTCACCTGTTGCCTTTTTGCAGGGTGATTCTGGGCTGGTGTGCTATGGGCAGGTTGCTGTGAAATGTTTTAGATCAAGCAGAAAACAGTGTGGAAAGATGATATTATTCAGAATTCTGCAGAATTGCTTTTTAAAAGTTATAGTGTAGAGTTATGTCCTTGGCTCCTTTTGTGGATGTTACAAGAGCCTTCTGGAACCTGCCTTACCTGAAGGGCTATTTTGAGGCCATTAGCACAGTGGTTCTCAAGCAGAGGGTTTATTTGTTTCTGGTAAAAAAATTGGTCTAACTTATGTGCAAGTTATTTCACAATATTTGGGATATTTCCTATCCTAAAAAAGATAAGAAACAGAAAACAAACTGTTGGTTACATATAAATGAATAGAAGCACTGATGCAAAACACATTTTCACCATTATAACACTTTAAAATATCTGGTATAGGAAGTGGGCACCTTGCAGTGTATCAGGTTTGAAAGGCTCCTGAGGTTCTTGTTCCCACCAGATGATGTTGCCCATCAGGAAGTGTTACTTTATAAAATACTGGATTCTCGGTTATATTTGAGTTTCAGATAAAAAAAAAAGAATAGTTTTTAGTATAAGTATGTCCCAAATATTGCATGGGACATACTTATACTTAACTATTATTCAATGTTTATTCATTGTGATATTATTCACTGTTTGAATTTTACTAGACATCCTGAATTTCAATTTCTAAACGTAACAACCCTACCCCAGAGGACATTTGACAATGTCTGGAGATATATTTGGTTCTCTCAAATGAGGAGGGGTTGCTACGGGCACCTAGTGGGTAGAGGCCAGGGATGCTCTTAAATATCCTACAGTGTACAGGACAGAACCCCCCAAAACAAAAATTACCCAGCCCAAGATGTCAATAGTGTCAAGGCTGAGAATCATTTTAACTGGTTTCACACATTTCTCACAGTCTCTCATGAAGAACCCTCGAGTATGAAATTTCCTTTAGAATTAAAATGGAAGAAACCCTCAATTGAAGAATTGAGTCCCCCGAGGAGCTGGCTTTTTTCGTTCTTTTACTAATGACAATAAGACCTAAGGAACTGATTTTATTCCCCTTTTCTCTTTGACTCTCAGGAAATTCAGACCAGATGAAAGGCCCGTGCCGAAAGACCATGTGGGATCTTACTTGACTGTATACACATTTTACTTCCACATTTTGGACTTGCTATTCTAGGCTGATTTGCATTTCCCTGGTCCTAATTCTTGTTTTCTAATTCATTTTTCACAATTTCCTGTAAATCACTCAACTCCCTTGTGGGGTAAAGTGTGACACACACACACACGCACAAATAGACACATTCATATAAATATTTAAACATGGAGCTTACCAGACACTTGACAAGGCCCTGTACTGTGCCCATGGGAACCAGGTAGACAGATGGGGGCTGTCCCGTTCCTTCCCGGCTCTCCTGTAGGTCTCAGGCCCCGCCCTCCAAAACCAGAGCTGCCCTGAGGCTGGACTTCAGGTGCCGGGAGAGCGGACAGTGGCTTCCTCCACCTTGACGTTGGGAGGCAAGGAAGGTCTTTCCTGCTGCCCAGAAAATGAGGGGCCCTGGGCAGAGGCCCGGCAGGCGGGGGCGAGCCGGGCCCTGCCACGGCCCACACAGACACACACACTGGGAAGAGATTGCATCTTCCCCCGGACCAGCGAGATTCTATAAACATAATCAAAATGTAATAGAAACTTTTTGGAAATGCTGTTATGAGGAGAAAGCATCAATCTTGATGGAACTCCGCTCAACAGGCTTTGCGGAGCTAATCAATCATGGTCAGGACTCGGCCTCCCCATCTGTCTGCGCCGGGGACCGCGCGGAGCTTGCCGGCTCCCTGGCTGGGGCTGCGTCCCCTCACCAGGCAATCCATCATGCGGCAGGGGGACGGCGGGAGTGGAATAATAGCACGCTAATAAACTAGGGGCTTTTTTCATTCCCAACTAATTTTTAGTAAATGAGCCCAATCCAGGCAGAGCAGGAAAAAGAGCCCGAGGAGATGGTGCTTCCGAGATGCGCCTCGCTGGCCGGGGACAATGGCTCCTGGGCCCGAGGGGAAGCGGAGAGCCAGCCCAGCCCAGGGACAACTGTCTCGGCTCAGCTGGGGCAGCAAGCAGCCCGTGGAGGCGCAGGGAGCAAAGGGGCCGAGTAACTTCGGGTGGGCGGCCGGGGGTTAACGGGGCGGGCCCACAGTGCTGATGCCCTGGGCCCCGGCTGCCATACCAGGCTCTGGTTTGGGCTTGAGCTTCCCAGGGAAGCCAAAAGCCAGAGTGCTAGGTCTGAGCAATGGGGCAAAGGGCCCGGCACAAGCAGTGAACCCCGGGATGAAGAACAGAGAGCAAGGTGGCCTTAGACAGAGGGGCTGTGAATGATCAAAGGTGCCTGGTGCCCATTTTCGTCTGCAGTACCTGCCTTGGGAGTGAAACTTCCAGGTTACAGAGTAGGACAGGACCCAGAGTGGGATATTCTCATAGAGGCCTGTAATTTGGAGGACCATATCCGTTTTTACTCATCCTTCTGTCTCTACCACTTTGCTTTGTGCATGGCACATCGTGAGCCCTTATAAATATTTGTTAAGTGAATACATGAATGTGAATTGTCCCTGAGATAGCAGATTTTGAAGATCTGTCTGATAATTTCCTTAAATTCTTTTCCTAAAGTACATCATCAGATCAGTCCCTGGTTTCCTCCCACCCAGGACTCAGTTTTGGACAGGACCGTTTGGAGAAGGCGTACATATTTATCATCTGTTGCTATGTAACAAGTTACCCCAAAACAAAGTGGCTTTAGACAACAATAAACATATTATCTCTCGCAGTTGCTGTGGGCCAGGGATTCGGGAACTGCTTTCCCTGCACTGTTCCTAGTCCTGGTAAGTCTTTCTGGAGGTATGGTCATCAGTTCTTCACTGGGAATTTATGGATGGCTACAAAATTTTTTGACATTCCCCTCATCAAGAGATGAAGTCTATCTCTTCTCCCCTTGAATCTGGGCTGACTTGTAACTGATTTGGCCAAAAACGAATATGGAAGAAGTGCTGCCGTTCTGGGTTCTGGGTCTAGTTTTTAAAAGGACTGGCAACTTTCACCTTGGTCTCCTAGAGCCTGAGCTGCCATCAAAGAAGAAGTCTGACCCCTCTTCTGGACACACTTTGTGGGCAGGCTCTGCGTCTTACACAGAGAAGGGGAGATGCCCAGCTGAGTCCAGCCTTCTAGTCCTCGCCGATGTCCAGACCTGGGAGTGATGCCATCTTGGACCCTCCAGCCTAGCCCAGATGGCTGAATCCCACCAAGTGAGCACAGTCAGTGCCCACATAGAGCAAAAAACGGTCCAGATGAACCTTGCCACAAAATCATGGGACAGAATAAAATGGTTGTTGTTTTAAGCCAGTAAGTATTGGGGGAGTTTGTTCAGAATCAAGAGATACTTGGAAGACACAGAATCCAAGGAAAGATCGTAGACTGTAGCTGGTCCAAATGCACATTCCGTGTTTGAAGAATTTCTGTTTTTTTTTTTTTTTTTTCTTTCGAGACAGCATTCAGTCTTTTGCTTAAATACCTAGAGGGGCAGGACAATTATCTCTGGAGTTAGTTCCTTCTATAGTACAATGGTTATAGATCTTCTCCCTTCGTCCTTCTCTCCCTCCATCTTCCTTTCCCTTTGCCGTTTTCCTTCCTTTCTTTTCTTCCCCGATAGTTCCTGGGGAGAGAATCAGAAAATGGTTCCCAGAGGAGGTGTGTTAGTTAGGTTTTCTGAGAAACAGAACCAACCAGAGAGACAGATGTGAGAGATTTATTAAAGGAATTGGCTCACATGGTTATGGAGCCTGAAAAGTCCCACTCTCTGCATCTGCTAGCTGGAGAACCAGGTGATCTAGCAGTATAATTTGGTCTCAGGCTGAAGGCCTGAGGACCGAGGGGCTGCTGGTGTAAGTCTTAGAGTCCTGAGGCCTGAGAACCAGAAGCTCAATGTCTGAGGTGGGAAAAGATGGATGTCCCTGTCCCAGATCAAGAAGGGGGAGAGAGAGAGAGAGAGAGAGAGAGAAAGTTCACCCTTCCTTCCTTCACCTTTTGTTTCATTTGTGTCCCCAGTGGATTGGCTGAGGTCTGCCCACATTGGTGGGAGCAGATCTCTTTACTTAGTCTACTGAATCAAATACTAATGTCTTCCAGAAACACCCTCATGGATACACCCAGAAATAATGTTTTACCAGCTCTCTGGGCATCACTTAGCCTGGTCAAGTTGACACATAAAACTAGCTGTTACAGGGGGTGGTACCTGAGCTGGTTCTGGCTTGGAGCGTAGGAGGTGAGCAGGCACATGGGAAGGAGCTTCTTCTGGGGGGCTGGTGTCGAGTGCAAGGTGTGGGGATGGTAACAGTGGGACACGAAGAGAGGAGAGGTAGTTATGCCCATATCACAATAGGCCTTAATGCCACTTAGGAGTTCAGATTCTATGGCCAGGTGGAGCCGGAAGAGAGTTCCCCTTCAGAGACCATCCTCTGGTTGCCGGGTGGGTGGTCAGGGCGGCAGCAGGGAGACCAGGTAGAGGTCGATTGGGTGAAAGATGGTGGCAGCTTGGACTAGGGTGGAGATGGCAGAGTTGCAGGAACGTGGGTGGTTTGGAAAGTGTAATGTGTGTTTACTGTATTACTTGAGAATATGTAATTCTGCTATAAAGGATAAGAAAAACAAATAGGACGGGATGCATCTTCTACAAAGTGTTTGGCATAGATCGTACATAAGATTGTCGCTTATGCAACAGACGCAAAACTTAGAGGATGTGTTAAGTACACACAATGAGTAAGCTTCAGAGACTCAGGCAGAATTCATAAGATGGGTTAAACGTAGATAGTAAGAATGTTAGCAACCTGCTAATCATAGATAGATTAAATGGCTTATATGGTAACACAAAGAAGACTACTGTAAATAGAAATGGGTGGAAAGATCAAGTCATGATGGTACCACCTCCAACAGGTCATCCCTAAATCGGCCACCCACTGGTGTTACCGATCCTGGGCTTGTTCTGTCCCCACATATGCTCTGTCCAAGAAAGGCAGATGAAACCCAGGGCTGTTCAGAGGTGAGTGGTAAAGCTGCAGCACGGGTTAGACGCACGTACTTGCCTTGTCTCTTCAACAGAGTATGTGTGTCATTGACCTCAGGCACCTTCCATCTGTTGGACGCCCTTGCTCCAACCTCAGCTCTGGTCTTCTGAACCACATAGCAGCAGGGCAGGCTGGGGTGGAAAGGAAAGAGCCAGGACATATGAAAATTACATACCCCAGGGTTCCAGGGCCATTTGGCCATTCTCCTCACTTACACCCCATCTCAAATGTGTCAACCAACCTCATGTCTTTTATTCTTGATTTATATTTATTTATTTTGCTTTGTGTCTTATTTGGTTTAACAAATGGCATGATTTGAGCACCTCAGTTTGGTCTGTGAGCTTTCTTGTTTTGTAGCCTGTTAGTTGCCTGGTAGTATTTTTGTGATGGGAGAAGGCAGATCATTGGCTGGGACAAGAGGGGTTATCAAAAGCTCTCTTGGGGTGCTTGGGTGGTTCAGATGGTTAAGTGTCTGCCTTCAGCTCAGGTCATGATCTCCAGGTCCTGGAATCGAGTCCCACATCGGGCTCCCTGTTCAGCGGGGAGTCTGTTTCTCCCTCTCCCTCTGCCTCTCCCCCTGCTTGTGCTCTGTCTCTCTCTCAAATGAATAAATAAAATCTTAAAAAAAAAAAAGAGCTCTTTTAAGCCAAGAGCCTCCATCTCTATTTGGAAGTACACATTTAAAAAAAAAAATTTATTTATTTATTTGAGAGAGAGAGTGAGAGCGAGAGAGCGAGAGCACGAGATGGGGGAGGGTCAGATGGAGAAGCAGGCGGGGAGCCTGATGTAGAGACCTGATCCTGGGACTCTGGGATCATGACCTGAGCTGAAGGCAGTCACTTAACCAACTGAGCCACCCAGGCACCCCACACATTTTAAAAAAAAGATTTCATTTATTTATTAATTTGACAGAGAGAGAGAGAGAAAGAGAGAGAGAGCACAAGCAGGGGGAGTGGTAGGCAGAGGCAGAGGGAGAAGCAGGCTCCCCATGGAGCAGAGAGCCCGACGTGGGACTCGATCCCAAGACCCTGCCATCACCACCTGAGTGGAAGGCAGAAGCTCAACGGACTGAGCCACACAGGCGCCCCCGGGAAGTGTACATTTAATGCACCCAGAGAAGACTCTGGGCAGGGATGGGATTGCAGGAGAATCACCATCAGAGGCCCTGCCTCAGCTCTGTGGATCTGGAGCATAGGAAGCCAAGACAAGCTATGCAAGCATTTTTAACGACCCTCCGTGCAGCGGATCCTTCTGCTAACATTTCATTGGCCAAAGCAAGTCACATGGCTTAGCCCAACCCCCAACAGGAAGAGTATTCGGCCCTAAAGAGGAAGGAAGTTCCGACCCAGGCTCCAACGTGGATGGACCTTGAGGACACGACGTTGAGTGAAATAAGCCAGTCACAAAAGGACAAGTATGTATGATTCCACTTATATGAAGTACTTAGAGCGGTCAGATTCATAGAGACAGAAAATAGAGCAGTGGTTGCTGGGGCTGGGTGAGGGAGGAATGGGGAGCGGTTGCTTGATTGATGTAGAGTTTCAGTTTTACAAGAGGAGAGAGTTCTGGAGTTTTGTCGCCCGGGGATGTGAACGTACTTAACGCTAATGAACTCTACAGTTAAAAATGGTTAAGTTGGTAATTTTGCTGTTGTTATTTAAAGAACTTTAATTCAAATAAAAAAGAAAATTCAATTTAAACACCAGGTGGTATAAAGTAAGTGCAAAGACAAAAGTAATGTAGAGTCCACAATCCCACCACACAAGGATAGACTCTGTTGACCACTGGAGTCCCTGCCGGGCATTTCTTTGTACCTGAATATCCCATGGACGCATGTACTAATTTTCTTTAACAGAAAGAACACTGCTGTACATACACTACGGTGTTGGATTCTTCTCAAGCAAAATTGCTTTGAACAAGTCATTGTTCTGGAGTCGATACACAGAGTGCCATCATCATTTTTAATGGCTGGATGGTATTCCACCTGTTGTGTCCCCTAATTGTATCAGTTCATAAGGCCATGTAGCAGAACACCTCAAAACTCAGTGGCTTAAGACAACTACCATTTATTACACTTATGAGGATTATTGTGAACGTGTTTTCCTGCGGGACCACCTTCAGGAGAAGAGAAGCTAAGGAAACATGGTAAAATAGAGGAAGAAATGTAAGCCAGGATGTGATGTTAGCTGGAGATAGGCTTCAGCCTGGTTCAGTGGAGAGTTTTGGAGCACAAAAGTGCACCTCCCACCTTGGTTCCAAGGCCCTTTGATCCACCCCTCCCTTGTCAATCAATCACTGGCTACAAGCTGACAGATCCTGTTGAGCCAATGGCAATTCTCCAGAAAAGGCTGGAGGTGAAAGCTATTAGCAGCCAATATTGAAGCAGCCTACTAAACAGAAGATGGTAAATTTTACGTGTATTTAACCGTAAGTAAAAAACAACAACAACAAAAAAACCCCAAAAATCAGTGGGGTGGGGAAAGACACTCCATCTACAGTGGGAGGCCCTACAAACTTACAAGGCAAAGGGTATGGATGTATAATCCTGATGTAGTGGAGTAAGAATCGGGATCAATGATCTAATTCACTACATTTGCTCAGATTTGCGTGGTGAGGACACTTCTCTGGCAATCCCAGTGGGGGATGGGCTGGCCCTCATCCAAGAGGCAACAATCCAGGTGAGGGCAGGGGAGCCCAGTAGATGGAAATGGGGTAGAAGATGTACTCAGAGCCCTGTTTGTTGATGACTTCCTATACCTGACGTACTGTGCCCAAGACTGTGCATTTGTCATCTCCCTTAAGCTTTCAACAAGCCCACGACATAGGTCTACTATGAATCCCTTTTTACTGATGGGGAAACCGAGGTAGTAGGAGGGGAAGTGTCCTGCTTAAGGACGCACAGCTGGGAGGAGCTCAACGTGGCATTCAAACCCACATCTGCCTGCCTCCAGGGCCTACGTCTTTAACCACCACGCCCTACCGGCTTGGTTGAGGGTGCAAGGCAAGTGATTTGACCTCTGAGTTTGGGTGACAGGTGGGTGGAGACCAATCGACTAAGGCTGAGCACTGCCCCTGTGAGATCAACTGGGGACAGTCTCGTGGGAGAGGAAAGTGGGGAGGGCGGAGACCAGTTTTGAACGGAAAAGGAAAACGCTCAGCTCCAAATTAGCAGCGTTTTCCTCTGGCCTTGCTTTTCTTCACTTGTTTACCTGTAACTTCTTCCAACTCCGGCTGCCGGGGACAGAGAGAAGCGGAGGACAGGAATCCTCCAGGGGCTC